GGTTGTGGGATTTTGAGTTGTTTAGTTGATGTGAAGGACACTGTCTGGCTCTTTTACGAGCAAAATCAGTCTGTTTGGACTGTTTGAGGTCTATGTATTTTTTAACAGCTTTTGCAGAGAAGAGTGTCTCCCTTGATTGCCAAGCCCTTCTCAGAAATAATTGGAGGGTAATACCCCCACTTTTTTTTTTGCATATGTCTTTGAATTTTTTTTTTTTTTTTTTTTATCATTCTCTAGTTTATATGTTGCAAATTATATAAAATGAGCACTTTTGGATAGTTTTGATATATTTTGTAAGTGGTGTAAGAGTTCAAATTTTATTGAAGCTAAGATGTCAGTTCCATTATAACATAATTTTTTTAGGATATGTGTATGAAATATGTCCCCCAAATTCACTATGATTTGAAAAAAATGTTGTAATGTGATACTTCTGTGACATCCAATACTTCGACTGGCCCACCCCCCACAGGAAGCAGAGCAAGTGGAGATGGCCAGGAGGACCAAGGAGACCCCCATGGCTCTCCAAGGGGAAAACAAAGCCCCCGAGATGTACTTCATCAACCTCGTGCGGCACTTTGAGTCCGAGATGATGTACTGCCGCACCAAGATCGAGGAGGTGTCTGTGTGCATGCAGGCGGCCAACAACCCCAATGAAACGCCTGACGGTAAGTTCGGGAGAGTTGTCATAGGGTGTTTGATTATTGTTTGATTTTGTTATTGGTGGTAGTTATTCACCGAGGTATGGTATTTACATTCATTGTAGCTGTAATGCAGTTTCTTTTTCCGTTTCATTAACAGTAACATATATTTATATCTAAATTTATACATACATGCATATATGTATATGTGTGTGAATTTGTATTTATGTTTATGTATATGCTCTTCTACTCATGAATATAAATCCCTATTAAAGACATAGCGGAGGTGCTTCAGCGTGAGCACGACACGCTAAAGGAGTTGGCCAGCAAAGTGTACTCCAAGCACTCGCACCTTGTCGAGCTGGGTCACCGCCTCAACACCTCCACCAAGCCCAACAACCAGGGCTTCTTCCGACCCCAGTCCAAGGAGGATGCCAAGCTCCCTGCTTCAGCTGTGGTGCGGCCAGTGCTAGGGGGTCAGTGGGAATTTCGTTAGAGTTGTTGTTGTTGTTGCTCTGTTATTAGTAGTAGTAGTATTGTCGTTAGTATTATAATTTTCATCATCATTATCATTATCATTGTTGTTCTTTTTACTGCTGTTTTTTGATATCGGTGTTATTGGTCTTTTATTGCTCAAGCCAGTCTGTCCAACCAATATCCCCAAATCTGCTGCATATCAATCTGCCCATTCAGTCCAATTGTTATCCAATCTAATGCAATATCTACAGGCAGCAGCGGCCTCCAGGCATTCCAGGAACAGCAGGAGCGAGCCAAGGCTGTAACGCTAGGTGCTGCCCCCCCTACCATGCCCCTCGCACAAACCACTACACCTTCTATGTTTGGGTGAGAACCTTTGTTTGTTTGTAGTGTTTTTCATTGTTTAAGTTATGTTGTTATTATTATTATTATTATTATTATTATTGTATTTTCATTTTTTATTATTATTATATATTTTTTTGTTATTGTCATTATTTTTTTTAATGAATATTTTCAATGTGATTAACCCCTTCCCGACGGGTGACACCGATAGGCATGAAAACAAACCGCTCAAAAGCTGGCGTGCAGCGGCACGCCAAAGCGCGGCGAGCCAGTGATTCGGGCTGATGTACCGAACTCACACGCTCAAAGTTGGCGCGCCATCATTGTTTGCCAGAGCGTAGAGTTTTTTGTTTGTTTTCTTCACCTGTCACCATTGGGTTAACCTGGATCTGCCGGGCCACGCCTATAGCCATCATAACAAACTGACTCAACATGCCGGGTAAGGCTATAGGCAGAAGGTCCCATTACATGCAGCAAACTCCCTGGCCAAAAGGCAGGACAGAATCACTGACACCGAGATATTTCAGATAGTGTCATTACCCCATCACTGCAGGGAAACAGAAAAAACCCTGAGCGTAATAAACTCTGGTGAATTCTGGCATAGAAGTCCACTACATCAAGCGAAATTCCCCCTTCACGCACTCTGGCTTGTCACCACACATACAGGCGTACCCTGCAGACCAAGCGGTTTGTCATGACGCTGGTACACATGACCTGTCTGAAATGGGTTAATGGATTAACACCAGTAGCAATAGTAGTAGTAGTTGATCATATATATATTCATACGTTGATTATGCTATGGATATCTGCAGGATTTGTTATGATTTCATCTTTACCTTTCAGTGTTGAATGAAATCAGGTGTTGTCTGCTTTATTTTTTCTTTCTCCTTTTTTTCGTTCCTTCCTTTCTTTTTCTTTCTTTCTTTCTTTCTTTCTTTTTTTCCCACTTTAATAGAAATATGAAATATTGAATTCCATCTTAAGTGGTTTGTTCATTATTTGGAGGACCTCATATCAACTTCAGCTTTGTATCTAATATTGTC